AAATTTTTAGTGGGGTTTTAAAAGCAATTTTAAAAATTAATAAGGCCAAATTTAATATTTCATCTTAACTTGGTTTTAATGATAGTTTTTGGGGTATTGTTGTAGTTGTTTTTATCAGGCTGTCAGCCGCCCTGAGTCCGCAAGGAGAAGGGCGGGGTATAAATTCAAATAATAAATAAATAAATAAATAAATAAATAAATAAATAAATAAATAAATAAATAAATAAATAAATAAATAATAAATAAATAAATAAATAAATAAATAAATAAATAAATAAATAAATAGAATAGAATAGAATAGAATAGAATAGAATAGAATAGAATAGAATAGAATAGAATTCTTTATTGACCAAGTGTGATTGGGCACACAAGGAATTTGTCTCAGGCGCATAAGCGCTCACTGTATTTATATACTTATATCTTAGTAGATACTTCAGATGAAATGTAGAAGATCTAGACCAGGTGTGTCCAATCTTGGCAAGTTTAAGACTTGTAGGCTTTAACTTCCCCAGCATGCTGGCTGTGGGATTCTGGGAGTTGAAGTCCATCCATCTTAAAGGCGCCAAAGTTGGGGAACACCGACCTGAAGGATCTGCCATCTCCTCGGTGCTGATGTCTCTGTTCTTAGCCTGTTCTCTTCCTGTTTTTACAGCCTTTTGTTCCAACGACAATGACATTCCAGGACGTTGTTGGGCCAGTGATCGTTTTAATTGGTGGTATTTATTTCTTCATTACTCAGGTAGGTTTTCCTTTTTGTTTACACATCTCTGACCACAAATGAATTTTTTAGTATACCATATAGATCAGTGGTGGCGAACCTATGGCACGGGTGCCAGAGGCGGCACTCGGAGCCCTCTCTGTGGGCACGCGCGCCATCACCCCAGTCCTAGGCCTTCAGATGGGTGTTATAAAACCTTTTCGCTTTAGGCCTCCGCCGCCATGTGCAAAAAAAAAAAGGTTCAATCAATCAGTCAATTTCAACTTCTCACGGGGAAAAAAATGATCTTGCAAAGTTGGAATTGATTGAACTTTTTAGTCCCACCCAGTCTGCCGTTACCACCGCAGCCACGCCCACCTAATTGGCAACACCCAGCCAACAGGCCACACCCACCTGGCACTCGACGATGCATAAGTGGGTTTTGGGTTGCAGTTTGGGCACTCAGTCTCTAAAAGGTTCACCATCACTGATATAGATAGTCCTTGACAACCATCCGTTTAACAATCATTCCGAGTTAAGACGGCATTGAAAAAAGTGACCTACAATAGATACTCGCACTTACGACCATTGCTGTATCCCCAGGGTCACATGATCAAAATCTAGACACTTAGCTAGCAGTGTGTATTTGTGGTGGCTGCAAAATCCTGGGGGTCACATGACCGCCATTTGCGACCTTCCCAGCCGGCTTCTGACAAGCAGTCACTGGGGGAAGCTAGATTCACTTAACGACTGCATGATTCGCTTAACAATGGCAAGCGATTTGCCGACTCGGTTAAGAACCACCTTGCTTAGCAGTGGAAATTGCAGTCCCAATTATAGTCAAGATGGAATGCCTCTTCTACAAATGGTGCTGTGCTTTCTATAACTCCACCTATGGGCTGTCCCCAACTTACGACTATTCATTTAGCAACCGCTTGAAGTTACGACAGCGCTGAAAAAGGCGACTTACAACCAGCGACTTACCCCGTACTTATGACCATAGCTGCATCCTGGCAGTCACATGCTCAGAATTTGGATGTTTGTCATCCATTGAGCATTCACGACATTCACAACATGCCATACTCATGTGATCACCATTTGTGACCTTCCCAGCAGCCTCCTGACAAGAAAAGTCAGTTTGGGAAGCCAGCAGCGAAGGTGGCAAGTTGTGGTGTCTCCCGTAACAGCTGCACTGCTTAATGACGTATTTTCCGGTTCCTATCGGGTCATACATTGAGGACTACCTGTAGGGGTCTGCCTCAGTTAAGCCTCCCACGAAAGCAGAATTCTTGAAACAGGCACCATTTCCAAAGGAACTTTTATTGGCAGGTATTGACAGCAGCAGAAGAAGGCAGGATCTGAAGGTTTCCCACTGGAATCAACAGGTTAAAAGAGACAATGCAAAACCTCACCCCCAACTATCCATCCGGCCGGTTTGAACAGGCCAATCCACAGGTGTGAAATTGATGTGAGAACGGGACATTCCAACCATCGTAAATATGAGTCAGTTGCCAAGCGGCTGAATTTTGATCATGTGCCCATAAGGATGCCGCAACAGTTCTTAAGTGTGAAAAACAGTCATAAGTCGCTTTTTTTTAGCACCGTTGAAACTTGGAATGGTCACTAAACGAACTGTTGTAAGTTGAGGATGATCTGTATAAGAACATAAATAAATTAAAACAAGCCAAACACTACCATTCTATTAAAGAGGGGGAGGCAGGGGTAGGATGTGATCTGTTGTTAATCCATATTAAATTGTTGTGGCATGGCGCAATGGCACCCTAGGTGGAAGTAGCTCAGCTCCACTCTCAAAATTCCCCCCAAATGAACAATTGGCCAGTGTGAACCGGGTCTTGCACACCTCTTCCCATATCCCTGTCATAATACAGTGTTCTGATTTCTGTTCTTATTTATTCCCTTTTAGAGTGTTCACTTCTGGAGAAGACGCTTCTCTTTGAAAAGTCTTCTAGTAGATAGATGCTTCGAGATATTCCTGTACGTGAGTATACGTTGCTGTTTTTATGGAGGGATTCAATCAATCAATCAATCAGAATAGAACTGAAAGGGACCTTGGAGGTCTTCTAGTCCAACCCCTTGCTCAAGCAAGAGGCCTGTACCATTTCAGATAGATGGCTGTCGAGTCTTTTCTTAAAAACCTGCGGTGATGAAGCACCCACAACTTCTGGTGGCAAGCCGTTCCACTGGTTAATTGTCTTCACTGTTAGGACGTTTCTCCTTAATTCCAGGTTGCTCCTCTCCTTGATTAGTTTCCCTCCATTGTTTCTTGTCCTGCCTTCTGGTGCATTGGAAAATAAGTCAGTGGCTCATTTCTAAAATCCTTTTTACCCTTTTTACCCTCATTGGATGCTGGCCTTTTGTTGGAAATATAGATGAGAACACCACTTGTGCTCCTAATTCTTTCACATTCTTCCTCAGCTGTTCATAATCTTTTGTTATTGTTTTTGGATTTATTGTTGAGTCATTGGTCACTACTTGCAGGAGAAGAAAGGGGTAGTAATCCATGGGGTTAATTATTTGAGTAAGATACTTAGTTACATCTTTGAGTTTTGCTCCAGGGAGACAATATATCTCCCTAGATTGACTGCCGGGTCTGCGGACTCACCGTCTCATGGTGATTGGCCCCAAGTCACTCAACTGTTTTTCATGCCTAAATTGGAACTAGAACTCACTGACTCCTGGTGATTGGCCCAAAGTCACTCAGGCAAGTTTCATGTCTAAGTTGGAACTAGAACTCACCGCCTCCTGGTGATTGGTCCAAAGTCACCCAGCTGGCTTTCATGCCTAAGGCGGGACTAGAACTCACCGTCTCCTGGTGATTGGCCCAAAGTCACCATCCGGCTTTCATGCCTCTGGTAAACCAGCCAGAAAACACAACCAGACGAGATAATTCTACTTTATTGTACAGCTCCATTAACTGAATCTTGCAGGTTTGAAAGTACAAATCTCCCACTGTTTCTTTGAACAATCTGAGAAATTAGGGAGCCTCCTATGTTTCTCTTTCTCTGCCCGTTATGCAGCTGTGGGCTCTGCCTTCTCTTACCTGAACATGCCCTAAACAGCATCTCTTCCTCTGTCAAGGCCTTTCTCACAGTACACCCCACACTAAATCATCGCTGCTTCTCTTTCTGTCTCTGGCCTTTGCAGGTTTGTGCAAGCGTGTACGATGCTGGCCTCATCCGTCATGTACTTTGCAAAGATGGAGGACTACGTGCTGCCCATGGTGTTCGCCTTGCTTTTGGGCTGGGTGAACATGCTCTACTACACCCGAGGTCTCCAGCAGACGGGGATCTACATCGTGATGATCCAGAAGGTAGATCACACAACCGGATAATTTTTTTTTCCAATTTTTAGTCCTCAACTTATATAGCAACTGGGAGAGGGATCTCCGAGTCCTAGTGGACAATCCCTTAGATAGGAGCCAGCCGTGTGCTGCAGCTGCCAAAAAAGCCAACACAGTGCTAGGCTGCATTAACAGAAGGAGAGAATCAAGATCAGGTGAAGGGTTAATACCACTTTACAAGGCCTTGGTAAGACCACACTTGGAATACGGCATCCAGTTTTGGTCACCACGATGTAAAAAAGATGTTGAGACCTTAGAAAGAGTGCAGAGAAGAGCAACAAAGAGGATCAGGGGACTGGAGGCTAAAGCATATAAGGAACGGTTGCTGGAATTGGGGCTGTCTAGTTGAATGAAGAGAAGGACGAGGGGGGACAGGATAGCAGCCTTCCAGTATCTCAGGGGCTGCCCCAAAGAAGAGGGAGTCAAGCTCTTCTCCAAAGCGCCTGAAGGCAGGACAAGAAGCAACGGATGGAAACTCATCAAGGAGAGAAGCAACCTAGAACTAAGGAGAAATTTCCTGACAGAACAATTAACCAGTGGAACAACCTGCCTCCAGAAGCGGTGAATGCTCCAACACTGGAAGTTTTTAAGAAGAGACGGTCATTAATGAAGTGGTCACAAAGTGAAACATCACAACTTTAACAATCTGATTTCTGTTTTCCTAGGAAGATCGTTAATGTGAGGACTGCCGGCTCCTATTTAAGTAATCGCCCACTAGGACAGGGGTCCCCAACCCTTGGGCTGTGGCCCACTATCAGGCTGTGAGCAGTTCCAAACCGGGCCACCCAAAGTGGTGGGCAAGCACGCGCATGGGCGCATCCCCACTTGCGCGAGCAGCGTGCGCATTTGCCTACCCCTTTTGCAAATGGAGCTGCAAGCACCCTTGCCTGCTGCT